ACCTGCACTTAAGGTACTAGCCAAAATCAAGGTTCCAGAAATTGTTGAAATACCAACTGAACTGTTTCAACAAGCTGATGAAGCACTGGAAGCACTCACTCCTCTTTACCAGGATTTTGGAGTACAGTTACTTGGCCAACTGACTGAAAGAGACCCATATTTTCACCCTATCCAAAGAAAGGTGACTCAGCAGAATGCTCAAATTATAAAACAATACCATTGATATCCATGCAAGTAAAATTTTGCTGAAGATCATCCAACCACAGTTGCAGCAGTACATTGACAGAGAGCTGCAGAGAGGCAGGCCGGATTCAGAAGAGAACAAAGAATAAAGGATATCATTGCTTATGTATGATGGCTCTTGGCTGAAAGCTGAGGATACCAGAAGGATGTTTGCTTATATTTTATTGACTGTGCAAAGGCATTAGACTGTGTGGACATTAACAAATGATAGATAGCCTGAGAATAATGGGAATTCCAAAACACTCATTGTGCTCCTGTGAAACCTCTACATGGATCAAAAAGTTGTGTTAGCAGAAATAGGTTTAAAATCAGGAAGGGCATATACAAGGCTAGGTCTTCTCACTATACATTTTCAGTCTGTATTCTAAACAAATAAGCAGAAGAGCTGGGTTATAAGAAGAATGTGGCATCAGGATGGGAGGAAGGCTTATTAATAACTTTACACAAGTATACACATGGCACATACTTGCTTGCTGAAAGTGAGAGGGACTTGAAGCCCTTGCCAATGGAGATCAAATATTGCAGTCTTCAGTTTGGATTATAACTCAATGCAAAGAATATTTAAATCCTCACAATCTGACCAATGGATAACATAAAAATAAACGGGGAAAAAAAAGATCAACGTCAAGAAATCAAACAATGCATTGCTTTGGGTAAATCTGCTGTCCAAGACCTCCTTAAAGGGTTGAAAATCAAGGATGCTACTTTGGGTGCTACTTTGTGCCTAACCCAAGTCACGATATTTTCAGTGCTCTCATATGCATGTGAAAGTTGGACTTTGAATAAAGAAGACATCGATGAATTTGAATTGTGGTGCTGGTTCAAAATATTGAAAAAGTACCACCGACTGCCTAAAGAACAAACATATCTGTCTTGGAAAAAGCATTGCCAAACTGCTCCTTAGAAGTAAGGATGGAGAGACTGTATCTCAAGTACCTTTGACGTGATGTCAGGAGAGATTGTGCCCTAGGAAAGAACACCAGGCCTGATAAAGTAAAAGGAGAATGAAAACTGAAGACCCACAGCAAGGTGAATTGACACAGTGACTACAATACTGGGCTCAAACACAACAATTGTGATGGTAGCAGAGGACAGGGCAGTGTTTTGTTCCATTGTGCATAGGGTTTCTATACGTTGGAATGACTTGATGGCATCTATAGCAACAATAACAAAATATAAGGAATGACATATTCATCCAAGGAAAAGAGATATTGCTAAATACAGTTCTTTTGGTTTTTTGAGGGGGAACTAGCTACAATACTCTGCCCTTTGGCCCCCAAAAGTTTTGACTCTACCAAATACCTTTATCTCTCTAAACCCTCCAAATCTTAATATGACATACTTCAAAGCCCAGGATGTTATTATCAAAATCATGTCTATATGTGGATGGAACTACTCAGGTGTAGCTCCTCAGGTGCAGAGACTTATAAACTAAAAACATAAATGATCCATCTTCCATACTCTCAATTTACAATAATGACATGGGATAGAATATTGCCACCTACAATTTGCAATGATGTGCAATGGGATAAGCACAATAGCTACCTCAGTTCAAAAAGAAAAGGAGTAGAAGACTCACAGCAATAACGAGTTCACAGCACGTTTGGATACACCTTACCAGTTTCCAACTCCAGGAGCCGAGGCGATTCCTTGAGTAAGGACTGTTCTCCCTGGGGTGATCTTTGTGGTTCTTGAAGCATCCCTCATCCATAGCCTCTTCACTCTGCCTTTCTTTTCCATCAGAAATGGCTCCCGTTTTGAGGTCAGTACTTTTTTCAGCTTTCTTCTGATCCATGAAATTTGGAGGACCGGTTGTTGATAAGTGCCTGTCAGTTGGTTCCCACCGATGGCAACCCTGTGCACAACAGAAGGAAACCCTGCCTGCTCCTGTGCCATCCTCACAACGGTTCTTATACTTGATCCCATTGCTGTAGCCTCTGTGTCAACCCACCGCTTTGAAGGCCTTCCTCTTCTTGCTGCTCCTGTACTTTACCAAGCATGCTGTCCTTCTCCAGGGACTGGTTCTTTCTAACAGCATGTCCAAAGTCTGTTAGACAAAGTTTCTCCATCCTTGCCTCTAAGGAGCACTCTGGACATACTTCTTCCAAGACAGATTGGTTTGTCCTTTTAGCTGTCCGTGGTATTTTCAGTATTTTTCGCCAACATTATACTTCAAGCACACCAGTTCTTCCTCAGTCTTCTTTAGTCAATGTCCAACTTTCACAGGCATCTGAGACCATTGAAAATACCATGGCTTGGGTCAGGTGCACTTTAGTCCTCTAAGTGCCATCCTTGCTTTTCAATATTCTAAAGAAGTCTTCTACACTGATGTACCTAATGCAATGATCTTTTCATCTCCTGCCTGCTGCTTCCATGAACATTGATTGTTAATCCCAACAAGACAAAATCCTTGACAACTTCAAATTTTCTCCATTTATCATGACGTTATGTATTAGTCCAGATGAGAGGATCTTGGCTTTCTTTACCTTGAGCTGTAATCCATACTGCAGGCTGCAATCCTTGATATTCATCAGCAAGTGCTTCAAGTCCTCCTCACTTTCAGGAAATAAGGTGTGTCATCTGCATATCACAGGTTGCTGATAAGCCTTCCTTGAAGCCTGATGCCATTCATATAACCAGCTTCTCTGCTTCTCTGCTCAGCATATGGATTAAATAAGTATGGTGAAAGAATACAACCCTGACACACATCTTTCCTTATTTTAAACCATGTAGTTTTCCCTTGTTCTGTTTGTACAACTACCTCTGGATCCAAGTACATGAAATACAGTGAAGTGTTTTGGAATTTCCATTTGATTCCAGTTGATTATGATCCACACAGTTGAATACCTTGGCATATCCAATAAAACACTAGTAAACATTTTTCTGGTATTCCCTGCTTTGGTCAAGATCCATCTGACATCAGCAACGATATCCCTGGTTCCTCTTCCTCTTCTAAATCGGGGCGAACCTGTTGCCTCTTAATTTTGAAAGATCTTTGTCCCTTTTGTTCCAAGCTAGTATAATTTTATTAAAATATTGCATTTCTGTGCATTAAATAAGAAATGACTCCACTTGGCAAGAGTGGCAGTAGAAGCTTTCTCCCAGGTGACCCCTGTGGTATGATGGGCAGTGGGACTATAGTCTTCTTAGAAGTCCCCTTTGTTTCCCAGCACAGGTCTAAATATCAAAGCCATACTAATTAGTGGAAACCTCCCTTTCTAAAAATAGGAAGTCTATGAAGCATTCTCTTATGAGTAGTTCTATGTCTATAAAAGGATTCTATTTAATTTTTCGAGGTTTCCATAAAAGGCCTTACAATCACAGCCCTGACGTGAGTTTGGGTCTGAGGCTATGTTTTGTTGGAGTTGGAATTTACCTTGAGTGTCTTTTATGGAGTTGGAGTTTGGGAGTGAACAGAGTTTTATTTTCCAGTAAGTGTAGCATTGGAAAGATTTTCTCCATGTTCCACTTGAAAATGATATAGTTCTTTCTCCAGTCCATCTTTTTTTTTTAACACCGTATAGAGTTAAAGTAAAAAACAAAGAAAGCCAAAAAATGTGGAACTTTCAAAATACTGCCTGGGCATGTACTTATCCATATCTAGAAGTTTATCAAGGATGCTTTCCACCATCCACTTACTGTAAAGAAGAAAGTGTCAACTTTTCTGCTACTATGAAAGAGGGTAGATCTTTCTGCAGCTTTCTGTTTTTGGAAGGCATGATTCTTTACTAGGGCTGACGCTGCCCCTCAGCTGCCGGGGAGAGAAAACACCAAAGCGCCCGTGTGCTGGGTCACCGCAGTGGCAGGGCTCAGGTAGTGCAGGGGGAGTCTAGATTATGGTCCGTGTCTTGGTTTACCTCACTTGAAACTGCCATCTCCTGAGTACCATCCCTGGTCAGAGGCACAAAACACTAGGAACTTGGAGGGACTTGGAGGCTAAGACCAGCAGGGAGCCGGTGAGAGCTCCAACCGGAAGCTGTCTGGCTGGAAAGTGCTGCTCTAGCGCTGGCCTTGCTCATTCCTCTGGTCCCAGGGCAAGCTGCCTGCACAGGGAGGGCCCTTCCACTCCAGGCTGGCCTGTGGGAGCTGGCTGGCTCAGAGCAGCACTCCCCAGGCATGTAGCCACAGGTTCTGGCCCCTTATCTAGCCTCCTGGCCTTTAGGGGCACTCCCTGTCTGTTGATTCTGGCACCCATGTGACCCAATGACACGCCCTGCCCTGGGAGGGCCAGTTCTGAAGGGTTTTTGTCCCAGCAGTCCCATCTCAGGTCAGCTCATGCCTCTTCAGGCCTCTGCTGTTTGTAGATCCCCCCTGACGTCAGCTTCTGGCTCACTCCAGGTGCCTCCCCTCTTGCGCCCAGCTCCCCACACCTCGTTCCTCTCTCGCTTGCTGCCTTTTCCAGTCCTCCGTCTGCTCCCCTAAGCCCCCACCACGTGTCCCACAATGTGGGTCAGCTTTTCCTCCCCGAGTCTGGGCCACCCACACCACCCACAGGAACTCCTGCACCTCCCCTGCAGCTTTAGGGAATGCGCGCGTCCCAGGCCCAAATGGCACCTGGAGGCTTTCTGGGCTTCAGAGAAACCACCCCAAGGCCTCACTGTGCCAGGGCCAGGGCAGCCCGCTGCCTCCACCGCCCACAGCCCTATGCGCCTGAGCTCTACCTCCACAGTCCTTGGGGTGAGGATGGGATGGGGGAGCTGAAGCCAAACATTGTGTCTGCTGCCTTCTGGACACACGGTGGGTTCCTGAGGCCCGGGTCACCAGAGGACCCGGCTCAGGACAGCTGTGGTGGCGAAGCTGGGCGCGTCCTTCTCCTCCTCCTCCTCTTCGTTGCCAGACACCTTCTCAGAGCTGTCGGACTGCAGTTCACGGGACTGGTTGTGTCCTTTGTGCTTCTGTTCAAGTTTCATCTTCTTTGCCAGTAATTTCTTCTCTTTTAACTTCTGTCGCTTCTTCTGCCGCTTTGCATTCTGCTCCTCGGCAGCCATCTTGTTCTTTTCCAGTCTCTTCTGAAAGTCGGCATCCAGTTGTGGCTTCTCAGCCATGGCGTCCACGTAGTCCTCTGGTACTCCCTGCAGCGCAGGTGTCTACACGTGGAACTCTCCACTGCCGGCCCCAGCACTGGAACCCAGAACATCTCGGACAAATTCTGGGGGTGGTCGAGGAGCCCATTCATTCATCTTTTCTGGAATCGGCACAGACTTGTCCGGGTTCTTCATGAACCGTTCCAGCGGCAGCTTCTGCTCCTCCGCCGCACTCTTGGGGATGACGAGCGTCTGCGGCTCATCCTTGGGCCTGGGCGGCCGCACTGAGGGGGCCGCAGAGCTCGCGGAGGTAGAGGCGCGAGCCAATGACCCTTTCTGCAGCTTTCAGTGACCATATCCTCACTTCCAATCTTAAGGGCCCATCTTCTGGTAATGTCCCGCTGCTACCTGAAAAGCTTTTAATGGCCATATAGCTTTTTTTTGGAAGTAGATTGCCAGGAAATTCGCCCTGGTTTGTTTTCATCTGGAAGCTCCTCTGAAACCTGTCCATCATGGGTAACCAACCTGGTATTTAAAATATTGGTGACATAGCTGCCAGTATCACAGCAGCATGCAAGTCACCACAATCTAACAAAGTGGTAGACAAGTGGTTGGTATGGGGATTATATAATTCTTACATTGTAGGAAATCAGGATGTGTTGAATTAAGTTGGACTTACTAACATTTTTTGACCAGAATATAGTTTAACAACTCTGAGTCTTATAATTTTTCTTACTCCTGTTTATGTACTTTTGTATTCAAATATTTCTGTATCTTAGACTTATAATTTTTCATTATTTGTGCCCCACCTTTTTCTCTCAATATTCTAGAATATTTGGTTGTCATGAATATGGTGAAATTACTTGATATGACTCTTTTCTCCATAGTCTTTGTAACTGTCACCCAGTCACTGGATGGGAGCATGCAAATAAGATGCAGAGGACCCTAACTCAGGATTTGTTAGAGTCATGAGCTACGTCAGAATCAGAAACAGAGAATCCTGTTCCTCTACAAAGAGCAGCCGCGAGTGATCTTCGCCACAGGCCTCAGCAGACAGACTGTGAGGTGAAGGACTGGGCTTTCCAGCCCATGAAAGGAGTCAAACGTAGTGTCTTTGGACAGGAGACTGTCGTGCAGACTGGAGTGTGCTTTGGGCATTAGCAAGACTAACTGAGCTTGGGGACTCTGGCCCAAGCAAAGCAGAGGTAAGGGACTGTCTTGTAGCTGGGCAGCTAAGGACCAGAGAGCAACACGCTTGCTAGCTTGGCTTAGAAGAAGTGTGTCAGTCAAAAAGATGATATTCCTCATGATTTTTGACCAGGACATACAACCTGTTAATTTCACTAATAACCCCTATAATCATGAGTGATGCCTGTAAGCTCCATTTAGCCATTTTGACATTGCAAGGGGTTATTGAACCTAGAAGAGGAATAGAGTGCTGCGAGAGAGATGGTTGGTATCAGAGTAGGATAAAGAAGGATGGAGGGTGGAGGCGCATGTGCCATCTGCCACAGAAGAAGCGCTCATGGGAAGATGCAGGGTTTTTGTCTCTCTCATAGGGAACGTGGAGAGGTCAGGGGTGGCCTCCATGTCATTTCCTTCATGAAGACAAATGAAAATGCTTTTCTCTAACATACCAGAAGCATGATAATTCAAAACAATTAAGACAAAAAGTAAAGATAGAGG